GAAGAAACATATTCCTCAGATGAATCAGATTCGGTCGAGGAGCATATGGATGTTAAGACTATTGAGAAGTTGATCAAAGCTGTTAGATATAGTCTGAAGCTAGAAGAATCGGACCAGTCTAAGCCATCGTCTTCAAGTATTTTTCCAGAACTTGTAAAAAAGAGACCTTCCTTTCCGGTCTATGAAGCAATTGTTTGAGAATGAATGGAAAAAAAAACTCAAAAGAAGGTTTCGGTTCAAGGAAAGATATCTAAACTGTATCCTTTCTCTGAAGAGAATTCTGCAGCTTGGAATAATGCACCTAAGATTGATGCAGCTATCATTAGATTGGGGAGAAACACAGCTCTGCCTTTGGATGATATAGCCTCTTTTAAAGATGCCATGGATAGAAGGATTGATAATAGCCTGTGTAAGAATTACGTTTCAGCAGGAGTAGCTTGTAGACCTGTAGTTGCTATGACCTCTGTGGCTAAGGCCCTTATGAAATGGCGATGCCTTTTGGAGGAAGATATTGAGAAGGGAGTAAGTAGACCATCTCTGTTGGAATCTTTATCCAAGCTTATATGGGTGACTGAATTTTTCTCCTTTGCCTCTCTTGACATAGTTAGAACTCTTGCCAGGAACATGGCATTGTCGGTGTCAGCACGCAGGGCACTCTGGCTGAAATCCTGGAATGCTGATTTAGTCTCTAAAAAGAGCTTATGTAGTATCCCATTTCAAGGGCAATTATTGTTTGGCAAACAATTGAAGCTGGCCATTAAACGTGCTGCAGAAGGCAAGAAGGTGATTCTTCCTCAATATCGTAGAGGTAAGAGGGTATCCCAGAAATGGCAAGACAGAAGATCCTTTCATGATAGACCTTCCTTTCGAGAATCAAGGTCATATAAGCCTGGAAGTGAATTTGCCAGAGGATCAGCTTGGAGAGGAGGCCAGTCTGGAAGAGGTATCAGAGGTAGATCTTTAGCTGGTTCAAGAGCAGCAAATAGATCATTCTGAAGGTTTGGGGCCCCAGGTCTCAGTGTAGGAGCACGCCTCCACCTCTTTTGGGAGACCTGGCCACAAGCAAGTCTGGATCCCTGGGTTGTTTCAGTTCTCAAAGACGGGTACAGACTGGAATTCTGAGAGTTTCCCTGTTACAACGTGTTCATGATATCAAAAACTCTAGGTATTCCAGAAAAAAGGCAAGCCCTCATCAGAGACATTTCCAATCTTCTTCAAGGAGGTGTAATCTTAAGAGTTCCTCGTCGAGAGACATTTCAAGGCATCTATTCAAACCTCTTCCTGTCCAAAACCTTCGGGGGATTGGCGTCCGATCCTAGATCTGCACAATCTAACTCTGTCTCTCAATGTCCAAAGGTTCAGGATGGAGTCTTTGTCTTCTATAATCTCGGTGAATCACCCAGGAGACTGAATGATCTCGATAGATTTAAAAGATGCCTATTTCCACATCCGATATTTATCATTATCTAGACTACATCTTTCTAGTAGGAGAGACAAGAACAGACCTTGTAGTTCAAAGAGACAAGGCAATAAGGATTTTGGAAGAGTTTGGATGGATTATCAACTACCAAAAGAGCCAGTTGTCTCCTTCCCAGAGTATATGCTTTCTAGGAGCATGGTTCGACACAAGATTGTCAATGGTTTTTCTTTCAAAAGAAAGAAGAGATCGCATCATGGCAAAGGCACAGAAGGTGATCGACTCGAGATGGGTCTCTGCGGAAGTATTCATGAGCATGCTGGGCAATTTTTCATCAACCATGGGCCTGGTAAAGAGGGCTCAGTGGCATCTGCACTACCCCCAGATGTATTTTTTAAAGAAGGTTCAACCAGAACAAGGACAAGTGGTCCAAAAAGATCCTCATTAAAGACTTTCTTTGGAAAACCTTGAACTGGTGGCGAGACCCTGCAAACCTCTGCAAAAAGGTTTTCCTCTAGGAGAGATAGAATGAATGACTTTAACGACAGACGCCAGTGGTCTAGGTTGGCGAGCTTATCTTCTCCATTGGAATGCCCAGGGCAAATGGGAAAACAATGCAAAGCCAACCTCCTAGAACTGAAAGCAGTTTTCTTAGGTCTGATTCACTTTCAAGATGTTTTAATGGGAAAATGGGTGAAGATTCGCATGGACAATCGAACAGCGGTGTCCTACTTAAACAGACAAGGTAGTACCAGAAGACGAGACCTTCTTCGGGAACTGGAGCCCATTATGTTGTGGGCTCAGAAGAGGGTATTGGGTATGTCTGCAATTTATATTCCAGGTCCAGAAAACTCGAGGGCTAACTTCTTCAGCAGGCATTATCTGGATCCCAAGGAATGGAAGTTAAATCCAAAGATATTCCAACAACTGGTTTTACGTTGGGGAATTCCGGAAGTGGATCTCATGGCAACAGCCACAAACTCCCAACTGTCGATGTTTTTCTCAAGGACATTTCATCCTAGGGCCTTGGCCACAGACGCCCTGTTTAACACTTGGCCTTTCAAGATGGCCTATGTCTTTCCCCCATTTCCTTTCATATGGAAGACATTGAAGAGGATCAAGATGGAACGACTCCTGGTGTTGGCAATCATCCCGTGTTGACCTCGCAAGTCTCCTCAAGTCTCTGTCAATTATCAAGCATTGGAAATTGCCGGACATTCTGGATCTCCTAATTCAGGCACCAGCGGTTCACCCATCTCCAAAGACACTCTATTTGATGGAATGGAAACTGAAAGGAGGAGTTTAGCTAACAGGGGTTTTTCTCAAGCGGTTATCGGCACTCTTTTGCAGTCCAGTAGACTACTTCTACTTATTATCGCATTTGTACGGTGTTTGTGATTGGGCCAAAGATGACAATGTATCTTGTCTTTCTTCCACAGTCTCCAATATCTTGGAATTTCTGCAGACTGGCCTGGATAGAGGGCTAAGTCTAAGTTCCCTGCGTGTGCATGTTTCAGCACTGTCTGCTCTTACGGGTTCCAGGTGGGCTCTGGACAGCATGGTGGACCGTTTTCTGACCTCAGTTAAGAAAGCAAGACCTTCAGTTAGGTCCCTGTTTCCCCCCGGGACCTTTCTTTAGTTCTAAAGGTGTTGTCTCTTCCTCCATTTGAACCTCTTTCTGATTCCATGGACCGGCTGATTACCTTCAAAGTTCTCCTTCTTGTTGCTATTACTTCAGATAGGAGGGTGTCTGAAATTCAGGCCCGATCTGCTGAAGGGTCCTGTATGATGTTCTACCCTGATCGAGTAGTTCTACAAACAAACACGGATTTCCAGCCTAAGGTGATGTCAGAATTTCATTTTAATGAGGAGATAGTTCTTCCATCATTTTTCCAATCTCCCTCAAATCCAGAGGAAGAGAGATGCCATACATGGCTAAGACGACTAGTTGGATTAAATCTTCTAGTCTTTTTGCACTTTGCTGGACTTCGTAGAGGCTTTGCTGTCTCAAGAGACACAAGTACATTCAGGATAAAAGGCTCATTCTACAAGATCTCTCTCTACGTCATGGGCAGCTGCTACTAACACTCCTATTGAGAGCATTTGCAGAGCAGCTACATGGGCCTCCACCAACACCTTTATTAGGCATTATGCCTTAGATGTGAGGCCCCGAATGGCCACAGAGTTTGGAAGGAATGTCCTTTCCTTAGTTTCATGATTCTGAACAAATAGGGATTTTTTTTGTGCATTATACGTTGGTTTTGGTTTTTATTTCCCTCCTCTGAGTTGAGCGTGGGTATTACCCTATCATGATGCTGCCATGGATTAGCCAGGAATTCAGAAAATTTCCTCATACTTACCGTAATTTTCTTTTCCTGGATATATTCGGTAAATATGAGGAAATTTTCTGAATTTATTTCCTTGAAACTTTACAATTAAAATATCTCGTAATACTTTCTCTTATCAAAAAGTACAGAAACAAAAATTTTATGAACAAATAATTCATAAAACCAATAGACTAATATAAGAGTTTATAAAGATTTGCTAGAAATATTTAAATATTTCAAATTGTGTTTCTAAATATGCATTGACTTTTCACTCTGAATATAGAGTTGTTTATACCTTTCTGGACCAAGGGATGCTTTAACAGTAAAGGTAGACAGAAAGTTTGTTATTGCCAATAAATCACTCATTCTGAGAATATCTATTAGAACCCACAATATTACTAGGATGATGTGGAATGTAGTGATTTATCGGGCATTGCAAGCATTTTACATACATAAAAGAAAGTTATTTCTCATCAGGGCGACACATGTTTTTCGTGTTTTTATAGTGATAATTAACAAAGTTGAAACATTTGTACATATTACAGCTTCCACCATCTTCTCCTCTTGTAGTAGTTCTGTTTGCCTTTACCATTTATATTACAAGTTGTATTCCCTAAGGAAGGTCTATGAAAATCCATGTATGAGATAGGTCCCCAAATTCTGTATTAAGGTCTATAGCTATTTAAGTACAGCACAAAAATGTTGGTGTAAGGAACTCTTAGTGTTAGAATGAAGTCAGAAATCCAATTTGAGAATGGCTCCATTTAAGCCAAAATGTCAAATGTTAGTTTGGAAGAAATCCTTTGAAAAGGACTTTGCTGTTGTGCCTTTTCACTCTGTTGTCCTATTATACTGAGTGGTTTTGTTGCTTCAGACTTGTGGCACCGAGATTGGGTTTGTTGCTTACTTTATGTGTGCAATCCTATCATTTGTATCCTAGAAAGAAGTCACACTGTGTCTTCTGGAACCATGGACCCATGTGATCCCTTAATAGAACATACTAATAAACAGATGGCTACTGCTCTGTGCTCTATGTATGAGAAAAGATATTCCCTTATAAAACATGCACTATTCATTTTGTAATTTTGGGCTATCATATGAGAGAAAGTCAACTCTATTTTTAAGGAAGCATATGCAATTTCAGATATTCGTTATAATCGGTACATGAACTAATAATTTGGCACATGATTTTTTGATAAAAGAGTGCCTTTATCCAATTCATATCATTATTATTATATTAATATTCAGGGCCGGCCTTAGGCAATTAGGCGCCCTGTGCAAAAAGTCTTCACGGCGCCCCCCCCACCTCCCACCAAGTTGCCTGAATACAGTAACACACACAGGCACCGGGGACGTGTGTATCACGAGGCAAACAAGGCATCTGCCTTGGCGCCACTTTGCAGGGGGCGGCAAAAAAAAGCATCCCTCCAAACCCCCAGGCAGATCCCTTGCTTGCCTCGCATCCTGGGGGGCTCAAGAGCTGACCGGCTGGCCACTTTTGAGCCCCCCAAAGGCTGGCAGCGGGCAGCGAAGGAGCATACTCACCTGAGCTCTTCCTGCTCAGCTTCCTCTGCGCCGCTTAATGAAGCCGGGAGCCAGAATATGACGTCAGTCCGGCTCCCAGCATCACTAAGCGCTGCTTACTCAGCCTGTGCGCCCCCTGCCTGCCTGCCCAGCAGCCACACTGGACTGCTGGTAAGAAATCCACTCCAGCTTTCCCAGGAGGCTGGGTGGATTTAAAATAAATGTAAAAAATATTAGTTTGTGAGTGTTAGTGGAAATGTCTGTGTGTGTGTCTGTGAGTGTTTATTTTGAAGTGAATGTGTGTGTGTGTGTGTGTGTCTGTAAGTGTGTAATTGTGTGTGTCTGTAAGTGAATGTGTGTGTGTCTGTAAGTGAATGTGTGTGTGTCTGTGAGTGAATGTGTGTGTTGGTCAGTGAGTGTATGTGTCGGTCAGTGAGTGTATGTGTCAGTCAGTGAGTGTATGTGTCAGTCAGTGAGTGTGTATGTGTCAGTCAGTGAGTGTGTATGTGTCAGTCAGTGAGTGTGTATGTGTCGTCAGTGAGTGTGTAGGTCAGTGAGTGTGTAGGTCAGTGAGTGTGTGTCGGTCAGTGAGTGTGTGTCGGTCAGTGGAGTCGTGCATCTTTCAGTGAGTGTTTGCGTCTGTCAGTGAGAGTGTGCATCTGTCAGTGTGTGTCCAAGTAATAGTGTATGTGTGTATGTCATTGTTTGTCAGTGTATATGAGAGTGTGTGTCTGTCAGTGAGTGTGCGTCTGTCGGTGAGTGAGCGTCTGTCAGTCAAAGTGCGGCCTTGACAGGAAGGGGTGGGGGAAATTTAAACTCGGTTACAGGCATGTACACACACACTCTGTTAAAGGCAGTCACACATACAGGCACAGGCACAAACAATGGCACAGCTACAGCGACACACACAGACAGTCACATAGGCAGTCACACACACAGACACACAGTAACACACACATAGACAGTTATACACACACAGGCAGGCAGTCACACAGATAGAAAGTCACACACACAGGCAGGCAGTCACACACAGACAGTTACAGACAGACACACACAGGCAGGCAGGCAGTCACATACAGGCAGTCACACACACAGACAGACAGTCACACACACAGACAGTCTCACACACACAGGCAGTCACACACACGGGCAGTCACACAGACAGACAGTCACACAGACAGACAGTCACACACACAGGCAGTCACATACATGGGCAGTCACACAGACAGACAGTCACACAGACAGACAGTCACACAGACAGACAGTCACACACACGGGCAGTCACACAGACAGACAGTCACACAGACAGACAGTCACACACACGGGCAGTCACACAGACAGACAGTCACACAGACAGACAGTCACACACACAGGCAGTCACATACACGGGCAGTCACACACACGGGCAGTCACACAGACAGACAGTCACACAGACAGACAGTCACACACACAGGCAGTCACATACATGGGCAGTCACACAGACAGACAGTCACACACACAGACAGTCACACACAGGCAGGCAGTCACACACAGAGACAGTCATACACACACACACACACACAGACAGGCAGTCACACACACAGACAGTCACACACACAGACAGTCACACACAGGCAGTCATACACACACACACACACAGACAGTCACACAGACAGTCACACACACACACAGACAGTCACACAAACAGGCAAACAGTCACTCACACACACACACTTACCTCTTTCCAGTGGATGCAGTTGGCTGATGGGGAAGCATCTTTCCCTCTTCCTGTACAGCAGGGGCTTCGGGAGGTATTAGCCCCGTCTCCGCCTCTCGATAAGCCCCGCCTCCGCCGCTCGGTAAACCCCGCCCCCTCTGCCGCGATTTTTTTTTTTTTTTAGACCCGGGTGGAGAATAATTAATCCTCCAGCCAGGTACCTCTTTTAGCTCCCCTGCACTCCGGCCATGAGTGAGCTGTGTCGGCCACAGGGCGCCCCCTGTTCCATGGCGCCCTGTGCGGTCGCACAGCTCGCACACCCCTAAGGCCGGCCCTGTTAATATTATTATGTGAAAACTCAGTTTAGTCACGTCCCAACGTGATAAAATAATATTATGTGAACAATTCAAATCTTTGTTCAATGTCTAACTGTTAATAAACACACATTCTTGACAGTGCTTGATTTTAAAATTAGCACAAATTTAGTAGTTTCACAAACTGACATACATCAAATTCAAATGTCACATTTTCTTTTTATGTGCATTTATGGAAATATAATTTCCACATACCCTACTTTATTTTAAAACAGATATTAATAAGACTTTGAATTAGAACTGAAGGTGATATAGCCTGGTACATTAATACTCTATCTTGAACAGGGAGTAAAGAACATCGCTATTTAAAAAAGACACTTCATAAGGAACAATCTAGACCAGTGATGGCGAACCTATGGCACGCGTGCCACAGGTGGCCCGCCGGGCCCTCTCTGTGGGCTTTCTATGAAAGAAGATAAGGGGAGGTGGAGACTTAAATGGGCAGAGGTACAATAAAAAGCTTCTCAAACTTTTAGACACCTTGTTAACGCTAGTCTAGCCATTAATTAGCACTTCCTTGGAGGCCAAACAATCAGCTGTCAAGTGTGATGCCTCTGGGGCAAAAACAGTTAACTTCCCAGCTATGCCAGTACTTTTCTCTGAAATGCTTAAACCTGGACAACTCAAATTCTACTGCTTGTCTATAAAAGCTGTCATTTACTTTAAATCATATTCATTGTATGAAAGGCATTGTTACAATTAATGAAATACTTATTTTGAGATGTACTTTGAAAGAAGTGCATCACAAACCCAGTTAATAAAGTTACATTTAAAAATGCACAAAACTGGGCAATAATTTTAAGCAAGAAAAAAACTTTGATAAATACAAAATATAATACAGTTAGGAAAATATATAGGCATATAATGATGGGTGCTTTTAAAAATATTTTATGTGTTTTGATTGCGTTTCACTGGCTTTTCATAATTATATAGTTTTCTATCACTTCCTTTAAAGTGCATCTCAAAATAAGTATTTCATTAATTGTAACAATGCCCTTCATATAATGAATATGCTTTAAAATAAATGACAGGTAGTGATGTCCCGAACTGTTCGCCGAACGGTTCGCAAACGGTTCGCCACGGACTCATCATTGTGTAAACTTTGACCCTGTACCTCACAGTCAGCAGACACATTCCAGCCAATCAGCAGCAGACCCTCCCTCCCAGACCCTCCCACCTCCTGGACAGCTCACTAAGAATGCAGCTTCAAAATGGATGCTGTCCAGGAGGTGGGAGGGTCTGGAAGGGAGGGTCTGCTGCTGATTGGCTGGAATGTGTCTGCTGACTGTGAGGTACAGGGTCAAAGTTTACTCAATGATGAGTCCGCGGCGAACCGTTCGGCGAACAGTTCGGGACATCACTAATGACATGTTTTATAGGCAAGCAATAGATTGTGAGTTGTCAAAGTTTAAGCATTTCAACTTGCATTTCAAAGAAAAGATTTCACAGTTTCATTCGTTGTTAGACGTGATGACCCTTTTCATGTTTTAATGTATTATTTAAGAAGTTCGTAGCTTAACAGTGTGTCTTGTCATTCTAAACTAGCTCTAGATTATCATAAAATTAAAATAAACGTCTTCTTTTTTTATTTACATTTTTTTTTCTCCATTTTCTTATTTTTGCCATCCAGAGGAATGCAATATAGCTTTACTATTACAGCAAATATGAGATACTGGAGATCAAAATGTAGCCCCTAACATTTGTCCCTCACATTTAAAAAAAAATGTGTAACTGTTCAAGAAACTGTTATGAAACTGTTCAAGAATGCATTTCGCAACTAAAAGTTTGTATTTTCAATCGTGAATAATCCTGATATAGCTGGAATAATGAACGAATGTGAGAATAAGGCTTGATTGCCACATTATGTATTTATATAGAGTCGGAAGATTTTCCAATGATAAATGCAGTAGATGTAACATATTACAAGATTTAGCCAATATGTTTTAAGGGTAATGTCTAGACGATTGCTCAGGTATAAATTAACCCCTTAAGGACACACAACGGAAATATTCCGTCATGATTTCCTTTTATTACAGAAATTGTGTCCTTAAAGGACCATTATAGTGCCAGGAAAACATACTCGTTTTCCTGGCACTATAGTGCCCTGAGGGTGCCCCCACCCTCAGGGACCCCCTCCCGCCGGGCTGTGGAGAGAGGAAGGGGTTAAACACTTACCTTTCTCCAGCGCCGGGCGGGGAGCTGTACTCCTCCTCTCCTCCTTGCTCGCAATGTCACCGGCTGAATGTGCATGCGCGGCAGGAGCCGCGCGCGCATTCAGCCGGTCGCATAGGAAAGCATTTACAATGATTTTCACAGTGAGAAGCACGCAAGCGCCTCTAGCGGCTGTCAATGAGACAGCCACTAGAGGCTCTGGAGGCTGGATTAACCCTCAGTATAAACATAGCAGTTTCTCTGAAACTGCTATGTTTATAAAAAAAAGGGTTAATCCTAGAGGTACCTGGCACCCAGACCACTTCATAAAGCTGAAGTGGTCTGGGTGCCTAGAGTGGTCCTTTAAGGGGTAAATTGCAATGATTGTTAAGCAGCATATTTGAAATTTTTCCTATGGACCAATTGTTCTGTAAATTGAACTTTAATTACATACAGCAGGCTACTGCAGGTTCTAGCAAGCTATTAAAAGGGCAGGAGTGCAGAAATTATTAATTAAACAGAAATTGCAATAAAGGAAGTCTATACATTAGATGACTCTTTACATTAAGTTTTTAGGAAGGCTGTGTAAGTCACATGAAGGGAGGTGTGCCTAGGGCTGTATAAACAAAGTGATCCAACTCCTAAATAGCAGAGAGTTGAGCAGAGACTGCAGGGGCATGATCTATATACCAAAACTACTTCATTAAGCTAAAGGTGTTTTGGTAAAGATGGGAAATTAATTGTTTTACATATGCAATGCTTAGCGAATATTCCCCTAGACATACAAAGCTATATAAATAAATATATATGTTAACCTATTGCATAATGATATGTGGATTGAATAACATATATTATCCTGTATCTACAAATCTCCAAATATCTGGACAGTTCAATCTTGATGGTTCTGTGGTGGTGAGATGGCAAGGGAATAGAGGTGAAGTGCTAATTAAAGTCCCACAGGTGTAATTAGTACATCTCGATATACCTTGCCTCACCCTCTCTCCTGCAGTGCCAGAAAAGGGGACTTGTCATAGATAGTTTGCTCCATAGTTTGAGCAGATTGAAAATGAATGAGGCTCCCAGATAGCTACATCCTGGCTCCTCTTCTGCTGTTCAGTTTATTTGGCTGATGCAGAAGTGTACTGCTGCATTAACCCGTCCAGCTACGGAGGCAGTAGACTAATCCATAAACATGTAATATGGTTCTCATGAGACCAGTACTTAGGAGCATACACTTCTACACTCCCTGGAACTTGCCTCATTCACAATCCAACACCTGTTGAATGCTCTTTATGTCAGAGCGCTGGAATGATTATGCAAGACGCTGCTCAGGAGCTTTTGTTATTTCTCCTAAACTAAGGGTTAGCTCATTGCCTGTGAGCATCAGATGATTGCTCTCAGCCAATGAGCTAAGCCCTCCATTGCTAGGCTTTACTCAGCAAAGAGATCTCCCTGTTCTCACTGAACAGTAGTGGTGCCCAGTAAGTTCCAGATAAGAAGCCAATCTATTCTAAAACATTTTGGCTCCTTACAATCCAGGTCCCGAGTAGTATAACCACAACAGCAAGTTTGAGATGTTCCTTTAAAGGAAAAAAAAACGCTGGGGCCTGGTTTGCCTTGCACTCTCTGACAATCATTGCTTCCTATAAAACCAGGAATTCTCTCCTAGATTAAAAATTTGTTAAGGAAATATCAAACAAACAAAAAAATACCTTTCTCCACTGGACTTCCAATATTGCTAGCATCTATTAATTTGTCATCATCAAAATCAGCCCATACATCATTTCCTAAATCAAAAGTTACATTCAAAGACTTTGCAGGCCATGAATTGCTTTTGTCTGCATCAGTGAGATTACTCCTTGCAGTTTTTATTGCTGATGGTAAAGTTTCATGTTTTTCATAACTTGCACTTTCTGAGTATTTCCAAGCTGCAAAATAGAATATACAGTAATAAGTTGGTATTCTCTATTTTAAAAATTGTCTACAAGTGATATAATTTAAACTTGTTAACACTAATAGCTAAGAAATGGCTGATTGTCCCTGTGAAAAACACAAGCTTAAAGCACAAGCTGTAAATACGTTTTATGATTACTGCATTTTGATTTGTAGATAGAGCTTTGCAACGTTATCCTGGAGAAATCCAATATGATTTTTTTTTTTTTGCAACAATGACGGTCCTGTGCGGTCTCCTCCAATCCGGCAAACCCTTTGTCAGACACACTGTTCCAACGTCCCCAATGATGCGGAACGCTCTGCCTCCTCCTCTCTTAATCCAAGTTGCGAACCCCATTATGTGTGGGTGCCATGCCAGAACTATTTCCCACATAACGCCGGTTGGTTTCATTTTGGGTGCTTAAAGTACCAGAAACCAATCAGAGGCCACACTCTTGTGACCTCTCTTTATTGCCCTATCGTGGTTTTGTGCTATCTTGTGAGTGCATTCATATTTGTCTTAACATATTGCTGACTGACTTGGCTTTGTTTTATAATGTAATTTGATATCCCTGACCCCTTGGCTGTGTTATACTAGTTTATCCATCCAATTGGTTCAGTCAGTTCCTTGTGTGGGCTTATGCCTGAAGCTTGTTGTGCATAATATGGTCCTGTACATTTCCACTTTGATTAGAAAATCAGTTGTGAGTGTTTTTTTTTTTTAATTATTATATAAGATTTTATTATGGGAGTTTTGAAAGAAACAACCTCAGAGGAGATAAAAACTATACCGAAATATGCACGCAATGGATAGCTTTGGCCTGCACGGACCATTTCAAACAGAAGTATCTACAACAGGGGTAGGCAACCTACGGCACTAGTGCCATGCACGGCACTCAAGGTGTCTTTGCACGACACTCAAGGCTGCTACAGCCAAACAGGCTCTGGCCTTTCAGAAGTCCCAGTGAAACTTCGGATATCTGCTAATATGAAAAGGTGGTGAAGGACAATCCTCAATTTATGCATTGCAGCACATAGAGTAAGTGATCTCAGATCACTTCCTCCCGGAACTTGTGAATGGCAATCCACACTATAGTAGAGCAGGCTTGCAGCTCCTGTCTTTGACCTGTACCTGGCCAGCCTTGTCCCCACTGGAACCCAGGGAAGCCACCCACACTGCTAGATTTACACAGAAATGCAGAATAACCCTCCCCTCATACAAATAATACGAACAGCCCACAAACAAACATACCTACAATCCGCACAAACGTAACCTGCTAACAATCCACATATATGCACACAACCCCACATGCAGCCTCTCACATGCAATACCCCAAACAGCCCCCACACATACACACACTACCAACACACAATGTGACATATCCATCCATACACACACAATTCTACGAGCAGCCCCCATACACAGCCCACATTCATATGTATCATACACGATACCACAAACTACTCCTGAGCATATACAATATAATAGCTCATATACGCACAAATACAATGATACAAAGCAATTACAGTATAAATAACACAAGCAGAATACGGCAGCATACACACCTCAATTTGAAAAAATAGGGCTGGCACGCTACGGGACATCACAATCCTATATCGGCACAGTGCTGCTAAAAGGTTGCCTACCCCTGATCTACAACAATGAAATTACTGATGATCACTTGTTCCCCCTATAGCCTCCTATCCATCTACCTACTAGTTCCAGGGCTGCAATGCAACCATTATACAGGAAAATTCAAGTAGATACATCATAGGAGCTCTTACCTGGGACTGGATATGTCTCCAGTTCTACCTCCAAAGTTCACAGTGTCATTCATTCCAGTTAACATTGCTTTTCATGATAGGTCATGGATTGAATCTGGATGACAACTACAACACCCCCCAACCATTTCTTCCTGGGTATTATCAGCTTTTACTTTATCATAGTACCACATACTCACTCAAGTCAGATGTTTCCGATCTATAACAATTTACTAATTCTTACATACATTTTATTGTACCAGAAAAAAATTTTGTTTTGCTTTTTTACTGCTGAATCTATATTTGTATGACTCTGTAAAACTTAAAAAAAAAAAACAACTTATGTGACTATTAACACAGCAAAAAGTCATTATTTTAGTTTCACCTTGTTTTTTTTTTTAATTTTTATCTCATCAGCACACCCCATCAACTATGCTGATTTGTAGAGTACAAAAAAAAAACTGTGGTCTTTGTCCCATCACATAATATCTCATATGACTCTTTACATTTCTACATAGCCACTGAACAATGCTCGGATAAGGTCATGGAAGTTACACAAATGTAGGCACTGCACATAGCAACTTCTACAACAATCACATTTCTTATTACAACTTTCACTTTATTAAAGTCTGCTCTGGGGACTGTAAAGATGTCATACGTTAGCATTTTTGTATGGATAAATGCAGCTCAGTCAGGTAACATACTTCATATCAAGTTGATGAACTAAATATGTGTAGTACCATGGCTCTCTTCTACAAAATGAAACTACAGCATCTCAGTCTGCTATATTTTCTTACTTAAAATTTGTTTTTTATGATTGTTCATTGTACTATAATTTGGCTGGTTTTACTCAATAACATTTAGACTATTTTAATAAACAAAAGTTACAATGAAAATACCTGCTACAATATTATAGAGTTGTTAACTTACCTGCGCCATCTTGTGGTGAATGTGTATAATTTGCGGTGCTATGATCTAGTTGGATTGCAAATTTTTCTGGCGTTTTCAAGCTTGTTGACCTTCACAAAATAAATCAATGTTAACAGTTATTTAAATTTACTAATAATGGTAGGTAAGAAGATGGGTAGGTAGAGACATGTAAATTGATAGCCACATGGACAGAAAAGCAAAACCAAATAAATAAAATCCATCAGATCTTTTAACAATTAGCTTATAGCATTCACCAAAAATGCAACTCTGCACTTGTGATTCTTGATAATTATATTTAATTATTTAATACTTTAATACTTGCATTTCAGAATCATAACCGTTTAATTGGGGGTTAAACCATTCACAAATGGTTTAACAACAAAGTCTGCTCTGCAGCGCTGTTTCTCCTCATCCACATCTGCTTTCAGAAATTATTCTGAAAGAAGTCTAGGACTGCTGCCGGGCAGGGGTGCCACTGATTGGCTTAGAGCAATCAGAAGATGCTGTAAGCCAAGCATGTCAAAATCAAAGTGTGGCACGGGCCACATAAACAAAGTTTAAGTTTATGTGGGCCGCACACACACACACACACACACACACATACTCACTGACAGACACACACACATACTCACAGATACACACACACTGACAGACAGACACACACACATACTCACACATACTTGCTGACAGACACACACTCACAGACAGACACACACACATACTGACACACACATACATACTGACACACAGACACACACACACACACACACACTCACAGACACACACACAGACAGACACATTGATAGACACACACACACTATCAGACACACACACACACACACTCACTGACAGACACACACATACTCACTGACAGACACACACATACTTGCTGACAGGCACACATACTCACTGACAGACACACATACTCACTGACAGACACACACATACTTGCTGACAGACACACACACACACTTGCTGACAGACACACACACACAGACACACTGACACAGACTCACTGACAGACACACACATACTTGCTGACAGACACACACAGACACACTCACTGACTGACAGACAGACACACACAAACAGACACACACACACTCACTGACTGACAGACACACACACTGACAGACACACACACTCACACACTTACACGCACATTCTTTACTGCTCCTTACCGTATGGAGCCGATGGAGGGCATCTCCCTGGGGTCCTTCCTGCTCCTCACTGCTCACTCGCCTAGTTTAGTGATGCCGGGTGCCGGAATATGATGTCATATTCCGGCGCCCGGCTTCACTTCAGTCAGCAGTGAGGAGGAGAACACTGAGGGAGCAGTGAGGAGGAGAACACTGAGCTCCCTCGCGGCCTTCCTCCCTGACCGGGTAAATGATAGCAGAGTAGGCACCTGCAATATGGGAAAAGCAGGTGCCTACTCTGCTATAACACCAAGCTTGCACTCGCGGGTCGCAAAGACGGTCCTTGTGGGCCGCGGGTTTGACATGCTTGCTGTAAGCCAATCAGTAGATTCCATTCATAAAAACGCCTTGAAAAAATATGCAGGATTGCTCTATAAAGCAAAGTGAGTTGACACGGACGCCCTCAGAAAATGACTGAAGTTTTGCTTTGCTCTAAGCAGTGACATCTGGCTCGTTTACACAGCAGGACCAAAGTTAGTTATCAAACCATGCTAAACTGTTTAACACCTTATCTTGGGGTAGCTCTTGGGCTTTCCTATGACCATAAACACTACAGTGGGCTGTAGTGGTTATGGTGCTTCAACGTTTCCTTTAACCATGTACGGAGAGGTGGTTGGCAAAATAATGACAGATTTTCGGATGTATGTGCCAGGACCACTGGCGTACATACCAGGGTCGCAGGGGTCGCGACTGCGACCAGGCCCGGCCCACCAGAGGGCCCGGCCGCCCCTGCGACCCGGTATGTAGCCATAGGGCCAGCCTCTTCCCCTGGGGGGCCCAGGAGCCGACCACCCCAGGGCCCCCCTGAGGCTGGCCCTGCTGACCCCGGGTGGCCGGTCGGGCATCCCTACGCGGCGGCCGAGGGAGCTGAAGAGGAAGCGCTGAGTGCTCCCTCGCGCGCCCGCCTGCCTGCCCGCCCAGGAGCCCCACTGGACCCCAGGGAATAATCCCCCCCAGCACTCCAAGAGGTAAGGAGGCTGGGGGGATTATATTAAAACAAAAAAAAAATCATGTGTGAGTGTTAGTGTGTGTGTGTGTGAGTGTTAGAGTGAGTGTTAGAGTGAGTGTGAGTGTTAGAGTGAGTGTTAGTGTGTGTGTTAGTGTGTGTGAGTGTTTGTTAGTGTGTGTGAGTGTTAGTGTGTTAGTGTTAGTGTGTGTGAGTGTTAGTGTGTGTGAGTGTTAGTGTGAGTGTTAGAGTGAGTGTTAGTGTGTGTCTGCTAGTGAGTGTTAGTGTGTTAGTGTGTGTGTCTGCTAGTGAGTGTCAGTGAGTGTGTTACTGTGTGTGTCTTACTGAGTGTGTGTGTGTTAGTGAGTCTGTTTGATGTCTGTTAGTGAGTGTGTGTTTTTCAATGAGAGTGTATGTTTTGTAAGTGAGTGTGTATGTATGTCTGTCGCTGACTGTATCTCTGTCAGTAAATGTGTGTCTGTTAGCTAGTGTGTATGCGTCTGTAAGTGAGAGTGTGTGTGTCTTCAGCACTTACCTTTCTCCAGCGCCGGACTCCCTTGGCGCTGGGGATCCCTCAGCCTCAGCTCCGAATGAGACCGCGCACGCATTCAAACCGCCCATAGGAAAGCATTACTCAATGCTTTCCTATGGACGTTCAGTGTGTTCCTCTAGTGTTCCACTAGAGGCTGGATTAACCCTCAGTGAAACATAGCAGTTTCTCTGAAACTGCTATGTTTTCAGCTGCAGGGTTAAAACTAGAGGGACCTAACACCCAGACAACTTCATTGAGCTGATGTGATCTGGGTGTCTGTAGTGGTCCTTTAAAGGACCACTATAGTGCCAGGAAAACATACCACCCTCAGGGACCCCCTCCCGCCCGGCTCTGGAAAGGGGTAAAACTTACCTTTTTCCACCGCTGGGCGGAGAGCTCTCCTCCTCCGATCCTCCTCTTCTGCTCCCCGTCGGCTGTATGCGCACGCGCGGCAAGAGCTGTGCACGCATTCAGCCGGTCACATAGGAAAGCATTCATAATGGTTTCCTATGGACGCTGGCGTGCTCTCACTGTGAAAATCACAGTGAGAAGCACGCAAGCGCCTCTAGCGGCTGTCAATGGGACAGCCACTAGAGGAAATAGGGGAAGGCTTAACCCATTCATAAACACAGCAGTTTCTCTGAAACTGCTATGTTTATGAAAAAATGTGTTAACCCTAGCTCGACCTGGCACCCAGACCACTTCATTAAGCTGAAGTGGTCTGGGTGCCTAGAGTGGTCCTTTAAGTGTGTGTGCATCTGCATGCACTGGCGTACATACCGCGGTCGCAGGGGTCGCAGCCCTGTAACTCCTGCGACCAGGTGCCCGCCGCCATGTGTTGCGGCCCGGCCTGCGCGGGGGGGGGGCCCACGGATCAATTTTCGCACCGGGGCCCCATGGGTCATGTGTACGCCACTGGCCAGGACCAGGAAACTAGAAGTCCTATCCACTAAACTGAGCCAGGTCATGAATTATTATTGAAGCAGACAAAAATCCAAGAAAAAGCTAGATCACAATCTCTGGAAGGCAATCTGGTAGGGTATCAGTTAGAAAACTCAATACTCACACATCTGACTGATTAGACAGAATATTTTGATTAGTTTGTCTATTCTATTAAAAACACATCATTACAATATTATTTACAACAATAACATATTACCATTTTGATGTTGTCATAGATGCTTTAGGTGAGAATACAAACTTCTGAAAATTAAAATTTTCACTTTTGTTTTGCATCTGCATCTGTATAAGAGTAACCATAAGAGTAACCAAAACATTTAAATTAACAACTAGTCTAAAACATTTTTATTTAAATAATATTAAAGGAATAGCAGTGAACAGCATTATTAAGTTTGTACAATGAGCAGTGAAATCATAACACAATTTTTTTTTTTTTTTTTTTAAAAAGGAGTTCTTTTAGCTTACATTCTGAAAGAAACGGTGCTTTCTGTAAGGAAATTAGATACAGATTTTACGACTGGTGCTTTAGCTATATAGATTTTTTTTTAAAATACAATTTATGTGGCATATACCGTATTTGAATAAAACAGACGGGAGAACACCCTGGTGAAGTGATATGGGGGTAAACTGCTATAGGGAGATAGAAAACATGGTAAGTTGATATGCTTGTTTCAAGAACTGAGTTTTTATGGAAATTTTTTAAGCACTAAAATCCAGGGGAAGTCTGACAGCTGCAAGGCATGTCATTGCATGGGGCAGAGCTACTGAAGGCTAACTGGGCATCATTGGAAATGTAATTCACAGACATCGCAATGCCAAGTTTAGGAATTTAATTTGACCTATTTCTAACTTTATGAAAACAATTGTCTTTAAACTCGTTGCATTAGATTTGTGCTAATTTCTTTTTTTTTTTTTTTTTTTAAATGTCTACTTACAATAGGGCACATAATAAAATACATTTCCCAAACACTGTAAATGAAACAGGATAAAATGATTATTGTGCTGAACGACAGAGAGCATGGTAAAATGATGTTCCAAATGTCACACTTTCAAATATATCTGACACCTGAATTGTACTGTTGTAGATGCCACAGTGGGAGATTGCTCTTTTGCATAGTACTGTAGCTGGTCTCTCCCTGCATGAGTCTGGTTTAACTATGCAGGCTAATGTAAGATTCATTATGTAATCCATATGCTGATGTTGCAAAAGCAATTTTATGTAAAGACGTATGCTTTGAATTTCCACATCCTATCTTTTTGATCATGTTACCTTTAGTCTCTTTACTGGTGGAGCCGATGAAACTGAATTTCGACTCCTTAGATCACTTAGGTAGGAAGCAAAGTTTGAATTTGTCTTAATGTCAGCCTTATGAGAAACTCCAGTTTTACCTGTAATTTATTAACAGCAAATTGTATTAAAATGTGTTAATGCAGGTATGTCACTTCTGCAAATCGTAATAAAAAGGGCTGAATTAACATTAAGCAGTATACAGTGCTACAATAAGTTTATGTTCTAAATTCAGAATATTTTCGACTTCTCGTGATTTAATTATACACAGGATAGGAAATTTATGTAATGATACTGGGGACGATCTTGTTTTGAGATAAGATACAGACTAGGTTGCCATAAATCTCACAGGGACTTCTACATTTCAATATGCACATAAAACTATGGTATATTCCAAGTTCCTGATTGAATTAAGGTTTCTGTATCAATATCTACATATTATTGTTCTCAAACCATAATTTGCACAGTAAATTATATTTCCCAGTCTTGGCTCAAATTATTATTCTTTGTCTTTATTTTTATTACAACTTACAGCAGTCGTGTCCACAAGCATCTTTATTTCGGCAATGATGATTGCATTCTCTCATTCCAATTTTTATTGCTGTCTGTGAGCTGGAATATCCTATATTTTTTTTTAAAAAGAGCATAAATTATAGCTACACTTGAATTAAAGAGTCATTAAAGGACAATGTGTTATATTATATTTTATTACTTTGGCACTGCTGACAAATATTTCAATCTATATCAAAGTGAAAAGACAATAACATAACAGCATTATCCAATGGAAGCTAACATGTCACTTTTTGGAGAATACTAATTAATGATGTACGGTGAGACAGGTTAGAGAGCAGTGGAACTGTTTTTTTTAAATTATTATTTGTTTCTAAAAAAAGTATGGAATAGGCAGAAGGCTTTATCCAAATTCTCTATATTACTAGTTTAGGCTTTTCAATATCACATTCTACCATACCAGGTATTTATTATAATGTGTTTTTTTTTTTTTTTTTTAGAATTGCAATATAACCAAGTGTATTTATTTTTTGTCAAATGCATATATTGTTTATAGAACAAAACAAAAAAAATATTTAATGTGGGCTTTCTACTGAGATGTGCTGACTAACCCACTTGTCCTTCTTTGAAGTACAGGTGGAGAAGCTGCTGCAAGAGTTAGTGAAAAAAGAGGGTGGCTTAAAACATTTATTTCATGGTTTATGTGATTTACAGTCCGAGTTTGTTTGGGTGTATGCATCTGGGGAGGTGTTTATCTGTCTGGTGTGGCATTTTGTATTGAAGTGTGTGTGGTGCATTGTGTATGTGCATCTAAATGTGTGTGTGTGGCACAGGGACGTTTTATATAAGGCATTTGACTTGGGCGGCATTTTTCAGGGGGCGGCAAAAAAAGGCGCCCCCAAATGCCGAGGGCAAATGTCTTGTTAGCCTTTCGGCTAACTGGCAGTCGGGCGGTCGGGCAGCGCCCATATTCTGGCTCCCGGCATCACTCTGCACCACTGGTGTGGCATTCAGTATCATTGTGTCTGTCTGGTAGTGTGTATCAATATATTTGTGTATCTGTGAGTGTGTGTGTGTATCCATTAGTATGCCCGTGAGTGAGGCCCGGCCATTAGGGTTGTAAGGGGCCCAAAGGTTGTAATGCCAGCCCTGCCCCCTATATGCCCTCACATATTTGTTTTGTTTTGGTTTTATCTGCCTAATTTAGTATCCTTAATTATGGTAATAATGCAACGGTTGCAAAATTAATAAAAAGGCTTCCTCTTAATTTTAAGCTGTTTAGTAGATAATGCCATTATTACATTTCCTATGGGATTCCCATATTTAAGGAGAGTACCACAATTAGAAATGTATCTTCTAAGCAACTCAAAGAGCAAATCTAAGAAAAGGGGCTTTTCTTATTTTTACTCTTATCTGTTTATTAGATAGCTCACTAATTTGGTATCCTATACTTACATGTTATTACCATATTTTAGGATACCCAAAAAATGGAGCTATCTGCTAAATAACTAAAATATCAAACTATTAAAACCATTTTTTTTAAATCTGTTCTTTCAGTTGTTTTGTAGATAAATCTCTAATTTGGTCTCTATATAAAAAAGACTGGATCTGCAAGAATTAATTTCTATTTGTTCTGAATTCTTTCATTTTTGGTTTGTTTCAGTTTGTAAATAATTGTAAATAATTCATAAGCGTTCAAATTGAAGAATTCGTCTGGATTTTAATCCAGAATTCTACAAGTCTATAAAAACATACATAATGTACATTTAATGTTTCTATCACAAACTGCCTTTATGATTCTAGGAACATTTATTTATATAGGTCCCCACCCCCATTTTCATTTATTTATATCGCTGGAATGTTGGGGAGTCTTCTGGGCCACCATTCCTCCCCAGTAAAACATTAACTTACTTATAATCCAGTGGTAAGAGGCAGCATTGCCACCATTGCCACAACTTTGTGTGCCATGAGATCATAAGATCTTCCGGCCAATTCGAAGCTTCTCATAGGTTGCGCCATTCACATTGCATAGGTTTCTAATTTGTACTGGAGCACAAAGTAACCAGGAAGACCATCCAGAACCTGAGGAGGCAGGCTGAAAGCTAATCGGATAAGAGGCATGTGTGGGGAAGTGTAGGTGTAGTATGGAGGAAGTGGTAAAGGAGGGAAATGGGGGGCATTTTGCCTTCTTACTTCAGCCATCTTAGAATATCGGCTTGGTAACAGCTTCCAGTGTTAACCGTTTCTGAGACTGTGTTGCCAGTGCTTACCAGACGGCCAGAGCATGGATATTGATGGAATTCTTGCTGCCCTTTGGGCTTAGGCCCTCCAATAAGGTGGCCGCATTCCCCACTGGCGGTCACAGCATACCACACCGCGGGGTCAGCGCAGAGCAGCATGTTGCTGACAACACAATGACATCCAGTGACGCTGGCTGTTGATTTAAACACTAGTGCGAGGGATCTCATCCTGCGTCCCGCTGCTTCAAGCGGGGTAAATCTGGAGATAAGGGGGAGGCTTTGAGCACTAAGAGCGAGGACGCCGGCGTTATGTGCCCCTGGCTAAACCTTTATAGAAATAGGAAGGTGGCAGCATTGCTGCTCGAGGGTTTCGGTGAGGTGTTCTGGATCCCTCATCGAGACAGGGTAGCACCCTCACCTTGTCAGAACCTTCGGTCAGTGTGGGATCACCCCGCGGTGGTGCGGGAAAAATTGGCTAAAGAAGTGGCGCTGGGAGGCATGGTGGGTCCTTTTTGGGAGCTGCCTCTTTCCCATCTCAGGGTCTCACTCCTGAGGGTCGTTCCGAAGAAGGAACAGGGAAAGTTTAGATTGATTCATTATTTATCACATCCGGGGGTTCGGTAAATGATGATATTTCAGCGGAGCTGTGTAAGGTGTCCTATGCTTCGTTTGATGCTGCGGTACAGATGGTGCGAGCAAATACAGACGTGGAATCGGCATTTCGGCTCCTCCCAGTTCACCCGGAATGGGTTGTGCTTTCGAGGGGCAATACTACAGGTATATGGACATATGCCTCCCAATGGGGTGCGCAATTTCGTGTTTTTATTTTGAATGCTTGAGTTCATTTTTGGAAAGGGTGGTGTGGGAGGAGTCGTCACGATTCTTTGTGCGTTGGTCCCGCCCATTCTCCGGTATGCGCTCAGCTCCTTCAGTTGGTTGCGGATGTTGTCTGTTCCTTCGGTGTCCCACTGGCCCCTGACAAGACAGTGGGCCCCACAACGTGTTTGAGCTTTCTCGGGATCGAGATTTATTCCGTTGCGGGGGAGTGTCGCTTATCTGCTGACAAGGTGGGGGGATATGCGGGGGGAAGTCGAGGCTGCGCAGGGGCTCAGGAAAGTTACTTTGCAGCGGCTACAGTCACTCCTAGAAAAACTGAACTCCGCATGTCGGATCATGCCCATGGGCAGGGTATTCAATCGGTATGTGGCGGCGGCTAAGTCTGAGGTTGAGAAGCTGCAACAACTTACCCGGGCGCTTAGGGAGGATTTGGCGGTGTGAAGCGCCTTTCTCAACAGGTATAATGGCAGGTCCTACTGGCAGGAGCCACAGGTTCCGAATTCTGACCGCCATATGTTTACAGATGCAGCGGGGTCAGTGGGGTTTGGTGCCATCCTAGGTACACACTGGTGTGCAGAGTCCTGGCCGGAGTCATGGCATTTGGCAGGTCTGACTAGGAACCTAACGTTCCTAGAACTGTTCCCAATAGCCGTGGCGATTCATCTGTGGGAGTCCTTTCTTCGGGAATGGTGGGTCATGTTCCCCTGCGACAATCTGGGGGTGGTCTTTGCCGTTAACTGCTTGACGGCTTCCTCCCCCCTGGTGGTACGGCTTTTGAGGCGTTTGTTGTTGCGCTGCTTGTCCTTAAAGCGGCACGGTCATGCCAAACTTACCTTTCTTTAACAGATTCCTCTTCTTTGCCTCTGTCAGGATCTGTTTTTCATTTCTTCCTATCTGCTCTAGTTTTCTTTAAAACATAAGACAAAGTAGGGAATTCTTTGTCTTATGGAGGTTTCCTACGCTTGACCAGTGGAGGAACAAAGTGTGCTCCGTTTCCTGTGGTCAAACTAATTTTCCCACAATTCTTACCTCCTGTCAGTATTCCTGAACATCCCGTTACTGTTAGGGACCAGGAACCAGACAGAGACAGAATTAGATGCAAAAACACCTTTATTAATAAATAGAAAATAATGTAATAACCAAAAGCAAATTCCAGGAGGCAAGCAGGGGTCAGGCACCAAAGCGGGTAGTCAGACGAGCCAGGATCAGGAGAACGGAGAGCAGCGAAGTCAGGAACCAGGAACAAGGAGACTTCTGGGAAACGGGAAACCATGCAAGGGCAAGGAGGTACTGGGATTTGCTGCTTAAATAGGCTGCCTGATTAGCAGCAGGGCTGGTTACTACTATCAGATGAGTAACTGTGGCAACATACTGAAGGAGCTGATCATTAATATCAGCTGAAAACTCAGACACGGAAAAAGGAAGGGTTGCTGTTTAAAACAGCAAAGAAATCCTGACAGTTACTTAGAGAGAATGCCGGCGAAACTACTGAATTGCTTCCTAACAGAATGAGAACAGTTTGTTCATTCATGTTAGGACGCAATTTAGGACTTTGTTCTGATCGAAATTTAATTTTAATGAATGAAATTCCAATCCATACCTTGGCTGCATTTTGCAGCCGCTTAGTAGATAACTCCCTAATTCCCACGGTATTATGGAGCTATCAACCAAAAGGCTGAAAGACCTAAATTGGTTTTTCAGCCAAATGTACTAATGCTAAGTAAAGATTACTTAGTATTAGTAAATTTTGCCCCTACTTGTGATATCGCGAGTTAGGGACCAGGAACCAGACAGAGACAGAATTAGATGCAAAAACACCTTTATTAATAAATAGAAAATAATGTAATAACCAAAAGCAAATTCCAGGAGGCAAGCAGGGGTCAGGCACCAAAGCGGGTAGTCAGACGAGCCAGGATCAGGAGAACGGAGAGCAGCGAAGTCAGGAACCAGGAACAAGGAGACTTCTGGGAAACGGGAAACCATGCAAGGGCAAGGAGGTACTGGGATTTGCTGCTTAAATAGGCTGCCTGATTAGCAGCAGGGCTGGTTACTACTATCAGATGAGTAACTGTGGCAACATACTGAAGGAGCTGATCATTAATATCAGCTGAAAACTCAGACACGGAAAAAGGAAGGGTTGCTGTTTAAAACAGCAAAGAAATCCTGACAGTTACTTAGAGAGAATGCCGGCGAAACTACTGAATTGCTTCCTAACAGAATGAGAACAGTTTGTTCATTCATGTTAGGACGCAATTTAGGACTTTGTTCTGATCGAAATTTAATTTTAATGAATGAAATTCCAATCCATACCTTGGCTGCATTTTGCAGCCGCTTAGTAGATAACTCCCTAATTCCCACGGTATTATGGAGCTATCAACCAAAAGGCTGAAAGACCTAAATTGGTTTTTCAGCCAAATGTACTAATGCTAAGTAAAGATTACTTAGTATTAGTAAATTTTGCCCCTACTTGTGATATCGCGAGTAGGTGCATTTCTAGTAAACAGTGAGCAGCCTGTGGCTGCCTCCTGTTAAAAAAAAAAAAAAACCCTAGTATCCCCACCTCCCGAACCCCCAAAAAAGGCCAAATAAAAATACATAATACCCGTAGAACTTTGTAAATAAAATAAAACACCCGAGCACAAAAAAAGTAATCCGTCTTCACCCAGTGAGGGCACCATGCAGACTGAGCTCCGCAGGGCCGGGAAAGGCTTATAAAGCCTTTCCACGCCCTGCAATTAGGCTTAAAGCGCTTTGATTTAAGCCAACCAGAGTGCTCTGACAGGTAAATGAAGAGACTGACAGGCAAGTCTCTACATTTACCTGTCACAGCACTCTGATTGGTTGGCTTGAAATCCAACCAACCAGAGTGCTCTGTGTCATTTTACACATCGTGGGAAAGTTCTTTGGAATTTGGGTGGGGGGTATTTACAATTAGCTCCCACCCGTCGCCCATGGGTGGGGGCCGGGGGAGGACAATAGGTCCCCCCTTATTGTTATTTAGGACTCCCACCTGCCTCTCAGGGGTGGGGGCCAGGGGGAGGACAATAGGTCCCTTGTTATTTATGGACCCCACTATTTTTAGGGTTAGGGGGGTAGGTAGGTCTTTATTAAAAAAAATTGGAGTGGGTGGTATTTACAATTAGCTCCCACCCGTCGCTCATTGGTTGGGCCCGGGGGGAGGACAATCGGTCCCCCCCTTATTGTAATTTAGGGCCCCCACCTGCCACTAATGGGTGGGAGCCATGGGGGACCCTATGTCCCCCGTTTACTTTTATAGCCCCCCACAAGCGGGGCATGGGTGGGAGCTCAAGGGGGAACACTATGTCCCCCCCGCTAGTTAATAGATACCCCACCATTGGGGCATTTGTTAGGGGGGGGCTTTTTTCTTTTTTACAACAGTGAGCTAACATGCCCCTACTTGAGTCATAGCGAGTAGGGGCATTCGGGAGATTTTGATCTCCCTTATGTTACTATGTTGATTCATGTTGACGGACGTTTCATGTGCGGATGGGGTGATTCGATTCCTCTTGCGGCGCTCAAAAACTGATGTTCTCGGTCATGGGATTTGGGTCACTAGTCAGGCGATTTCAGGGTCCAGAGGTATTGTTCTGTTCGACCGCAGTCTATGGACCCTTTGTTGATCCACGGGGATGGGAAAACTTGTCCAGGTTTCAATTTATTAGAGTCCTTCGGATGGAGCTGGAGTTGCTTGGCATTCCGGGTGAAGGAATTGGGGGGTCACTTCTTCCGGATCGGGGCGGCGACTGAAGCTTCTCGTTTGGGTTTCTCCGAGCAGGCTATCCAGAGGATTAATAGATGGGAGTTTCGGTCCTAATGCGCCCAACTGGGCTGATTGCGTTTTCCCTGTGTTTTCTCAGCTGACGGGTATGGTTAGTTGGACATAGGAATGTCTAAGAATGTCTATTGGGCCCATATCTGTGTGGAGGTTCGACCTGGTGGGACTCGTCTCTGCCTTTCGAAGGAGACCGCAGACTTCAGATGGTTTGGGACTCTGGGCATGCGATGGGTACAGCTGCTTCCGGAAGTAGTCAAGCTTTCTAGTCTAGGGGGGGCCCTCGATGTTTTGGTCATACGCCTTGGGGATAATGATTTGGGAGCAATGCCAGTGTGGGGCATGGGGGATATGATTAAGTGAGACTTGGCGCGCTTAATGGTGCTTTTTAGCAGAGGGGCTAGTGGTGGGTAAGGTTCTTGCCCATCCGGGTTGGAGCAAGAGTACAGGGGGAAAGATGGAAGGTTGGGGGTGATCCCTCCCCTAACCTCTGGTAAATGGTTTGACAAACAGAAGTGCCCACTGAGCCAAAGGCTGGCAAGTGGTTGGCATAGTGGTAAGGTATGGCCAAGTTGGAGGCCAACTGGTTGTTAGGATGAGGGAGGGTGGGGGGCAGACGCCCAGGGGTACTAGTCTTTAGTGCTGGAATGGTTTGGCAAGGACAAGACTGTGGTTAAATATGTTGATAGTTAGTAAGTGGTTATTTATATTTATTTAATTATAAATAAAGCTGTGGCCTGTTTTATACCACAAATACATCCCAGGTTTTAGTTGGGGGGGGGGAATGAATGGTAAAGAAGGTTGGTCGCACTACACGGTAACCACTACCTGCACACATGTAAAATTTTCACTTACCAGTTTTAGAATAAATTTGGTCGTTTGCATTAGACTTTGTAGTTTCAGAAATCTGCTGATCCATCATTTCAGTGCCAAATCTTTTTGGACCAAGATAAAAAATACTGAAACTCTGCTGAATATCGAAGCCAACTTTTGAAAGAAAAAAAAAAACCCATCAACATATTTCTAGATCTGTAGTATTATTATGACCATTACTATGTTTATATTACAATAAAGAACATATTCTATAATGATCTTTTACATTAGAACAGTTAATTCAGTGACTAGGACAGATGAATAGGGATACAAAAAAGTGCAGAGCTGTGCTAAAATCAGACCTTTGATAGGGGAAAAATTTGATTTTGTTAATTTAAAATTTTTTTTTAGTTATTTTATAAAATGGAATTTATACAGAGTGTCAAAAAGAGTGGCGAACAAATTTAAAGGTAACATGTTTATTTGAATATTACATTCAGATCTCTGCTATGGGTTGAACATAAATGACTTTCTACCAACAATGCCAAATACAATAGCCGTAATTAGAAATACTCCAGTAAACACACTGAAGCCAAGGGCACTGTGTTTTTGTTTTTAGCAGTCCTTAGTCATAGCAATGATGTTATGGAGTAAAGTCTGCTAAGCTTGAAATGTGTTAGGTTTGTTTCCCCCTGTGATGCAATTCCTTATGCCTGATCTGTGAATTTCAATAAGGCTTTTTATGTTGTTCTGCATCCTGTTGACTGTGGCGTTATGTAAATCAGACACATGTGTTTTGTTTAATTGCAGAGTGACTTCCATCTATGTTGTACCTATGCAAACATAAAATAATCGAAAAACCTTCTGATCAACACTATAAATTACTAGTGGTTAGTAAAAAAAATAAATAAATTATTCAACTTTCACTAAATAAAATCTGGTAAATATGATAATCTTACCATATTCAGAACTAATGAGATTTACACTAATTTCCTCTGATTTGGAAGCTCTTTTTATCTCAATTTTTCTTGTCCAGCTTCCAGTTTTTAACAGAGCAGAATCCCTAAGAAGATTCAAAAGTTAAGATATTATTTAAAAATGCATTAAAGGAACACTAGCTCCATAACCACCACAGCATACTGTGGAATCTCCCCCCATTGAAAGGAATCAAACTGTTTAAGAACAGCTTGACTTCTTAACAAGACAAAATATACAAAAAGTATATAGTTGTGTAGGCGCTTCCAACCTTAAATGCAAACAATATGAGTGAGTGTGAAAAAAGGTGTAATCCCTTAACACCCAAAGACAAAATAGAAAGATAAATAGATAGATTCACACACACTCAAAAAAAAAGTATATACAAGATATATACATAAATAGGTATACCACCTATTGTAGACGTAAGTATGTTGGTTACATCTGAAAAACAAATGGAACATACATAGTGCTTTCCATATAGATTAAAATAAACAAGTTATAATATATGTGGATTGAACTCACAAAGGTGGAGCCTCATAGGCTCTATGCACATCACTCTTGGGTGCCTATTCAGGCTCTCGATAGATTCCTGTTGGAAGAACTCGAGGTCCACAGTAATAGATGTAGATACAAATTTATTGAAATAAAATATTGAAATAAAATATATAAATAACTAGGGACAAGGCAGGTATAATCATGAAATATAATACAGTATTGCACCGCAAATATGGCCAAAACTTTAAAGCAGATATATAGATGATATTTTTTTTATTTGGAAGGGGGGAGAACAGCACCTTACTTTATTTTTGCAATTTTTGAATGACAATTCCAGGAATATTACCCTTTCTAGTGAACATAGTATTTCCCATGTTAATTTTCTGGATTTAGTCATTTATATAGAGGATTCTTGTATTAAAACGAAAACGTTTTTTAAACCGGTTGATGTCAATAGTTATATTGACACGACCAGTTGTCACCATGCTCCTTGGATCAATAATATGCCAAAAGGACAGTACATACGGATGTTGAGGAATTGTACTGATCCTCATCAATTTGATATTCAGGCTGATACTCTAACCTCTTTTTTTAAAGAAAAACATTATGACCCTATAGTTTTAAAAGAACAAGTTTCTCAAGTTAAAAAAATGAAGAGAACTGAGGTACTTAAATATAAACCAAAGAAGGATACAGTAATAGGAGAGAAAGAATGTGTACCTCTAATTTTGGACTATAATGTTAATTCTAAACAAATTAAACATATAATCAACAAACATTGGCATGTTTTGAAAACAGATGAGGATCTTAAGGATATTATAAGTGATAAGCCGAAAATTATTTTTAAAGGTGCTAAAAATATTAAAGACCATTTAGTTAAAAGTTTCGTCAATTGTAAACAGGGAGATAAGAACGTTTTTAATCAAAAACCAGGTTTTTATCCGTGTAAAATGTGCTTGCCATGTAAAAACACTACTTTTAAGAAAGATACACAAATTACGTTTAAATCCAATGTCACAGGAACCTGTTTTAAGATACGTGATATTGTTACATGCCTTTCTACTAATGTGGTGTATCTCCTCTGGTGTCCCTGTGGGCTCCAGTATGTGGGAATGACCACTAGGAGTCTGAAAACCCGCATTATGGAGCACATGGGTAACATACGGAGGGGATACACCAAACACAGTGTATCAGCACATTTTTTAGAATACCATAATGGTGACGCTTCTCTTTTAAGTTTCATGGTGATTGGGAAAAACGTATAAATTGGAGAGGGGAGGATAATGTCCGAGAATTAAGTAAATTAGAGGGCAAATGGATTTTTACCTTGGACACTATGTGCCCTAAAGGTCTTAATATAGATTTCGAATTAGTCCATTTTTTATAATAAAAAAAAAATTTTTTTTAAAAAAATTTTTAAAAATTTTTTTATTAATATTTTATATAATATTTATAGTACTTGTTATTTATATACTTTTATGGGTTTTTTCTTTTGGACATTTCCCCTCTTCAATACACAATTTTATAATTTTTTGTGCCTTGTGTTTTAAGAATATGTATGTACCGATCTACTAATTCACTACTTGCTATTTTCTTTGTTTCTACATTATGTGGATTAAGTTTGTTTGGGCATATGCCCTTTTCCAATATGGACATCCTTGGGACTGTTTACACCATGTTCGAGTGTGGAACGCATGGTGGAACGCAAAAACATCATGTGACCGCATCTAACCGGAAGTCACGTGCGTTTTGCCGAAACCGGAAGTGACACGATCGGCGGTATTTGGAGACTACAGCTGGACCTATTTGAACATATCAAGGGGGCTATTTAAGCCCTGAAGTTTTTTCCAGGAACTTAGCACTGAGGAAGGCCCTATCAGGGGCTGAAACGCGTTTGCACTTTACTGGACTTCTCTATTGGGACTTTTTTCTGGCGGTATTTTCTTATTGTTTATGTATTGTAGTGTTCCACTGCTTTAAAGTTTTGGCCATATTTGCGGTGCAATACTGTATTATATTTCATGATTATACCTGCCTTGTCCCTAGTTATTTATATATTTTATTTCAATATTTTATTTCAATAAATTTGTATCTACATCTATTACTGTGGACCTCGAGTTCTTCCAACAGGAATCTATCGAGAGCCTGAATAGGCACCCAAGAGTGATGTGCATAGAGCCTATGAGGCTCCACCTTTGTGAGTTCAATCCACATATATTATAACTTGTTTATTTTAATCTATATGGAAAGCACTATGTATGTTCCATTTGTTTTTCAGATGTAACCAACATACTTACGTCTACAATAGGTGGTATACCTATTTATGTATATATCTTGTATATACTTTTTTTTGAGTGTGTGTGAATCTATCTATTTATCTTTCTAGCTTGACTTCTTACCTTGTTTCTGCCAGAAGCTGGCAGTTCCTAAGCCAGGGACAGGCAACATTCGGCACTCCAGATGTTATGGACTACATTCCCCATAATGCTCTGACACCCATCATGTTGGCAAAGCATCATGGGAGGTGTAGTCCAAAACATCTGGAGTGCCAAAGGTTTGCCTATGCCTGTCCTAAGCAGTAGTTTCCCACCAAAAAAAAATGGCAAACAACTTTTTTTTTCATTCATGTTCCACACTTACCACATACACCTTCAACTCGCAGTATAAATGAAATGTAGAGAATGGAACAAAACACAAAACTAAAGAAAATCAGGCAGTTGAAGAACAATAGAGTAGGTAACGGAAAAAAAAAGCACGATGTTTCACATGCCATACAAAAATATATTGAATTGTTTATACACATTTAATGTATCAATCCAGTTTTAATTTACCTAATATAGAGAGAGCACCACAAAGAAGTCCTTTAAATTGAGATGCCAATACCCCATCAAAAGGACACATTGATCCATAAAGGTTGATCAACACCCATTAGCTCAAACAATTCCTGCCAATAATGGCAACTTATAAAACTTTGTAAATGTGCCTAATAAGGACCACGTGACAGGCCTTCAAAACTGTTCCACTGATGCCTAATTTCATAGTTCTGAAAAATCTTGGAAGCCTAAATGTAAAACTTAAGAACAATGCATAACTGCCCAACTGAAGACCTTCCTGCTATTTTCAGGGTGAGGACATATAATTTAGAGGGAGTCATGATCCCTGAATTGGAGATACTGATACGTAAGATAGATATGCAATACATTGTGTCTAATGGTGGAAGGGACCTCGAATGAGAGGGTAATCAGATAAGAGTCACACATCCGTATGTCACAGGAGTCACCAGAATGCCAAGCTTGATTCAGGAAAGCACCCGTGGCAGCAATAGTACAAAAGAAAACATTACATTGATTTGAAGTGCATTTAAGCTACTGTAGTATTCACTAGACTCATAAGCTGATCCTTACACCTCACACAATAGAATGTGAACTGGTCCTGTAGTCAAGAAGCCACTATGGCTATCTTTAATATTTTTCATCAGGGAGTGAAGACTAAAGTTTCAGTTACCTCTTTGAAGATGAAAATATTAACAACAATATAATCGACAAGAGAAATACTTGCCTAAAGAGAGATTTATAGGAATCATTTGAATGCAAATCTGCAGTGACCAATGCAATATCAAAAAAGCATCTGAAGCATCATCTAAGTGCTATTCAGCTAAAAGGATTCAAAACTCTAAATAAATAAATCACATATGGTGGCTGATGAGAATATGCAGCTGAGGCTGTTAAGTGGATTATGGGGCTAGGCAGGGCCGGATTAACATAGGGGCTGATGGAGCTGCAGCTCCAGGCCCAGGCCCAGGCCCATGGAATAGGCCCATTTAAAAAAAAAAAAATAATAATAATTTTTTTTTACTTTTTTTTTTTTTTACACACATTACTCTGAGGTTTGCCACCTGACTGGTATTTTACCAGTATTTGAGGCTGCCTGGCCGTGCCGGTATTGCAGTAATACCGGCAATACAAATGCAGGTATTTTTCTCAGTATAAATGGAGATTACTCTGTAATACCAGCACTAACCAGTAGTGGTCACTGTGTGTGGAGAGAGGCAGGGATAGGAAGTTACAGCATCTCCCTCCCTGTCTCTCTCTAATCACTGATCTGTGGGGAGCAGCTACACAGCACAGAGAGTCCAGACAGCAGCTCCTAGTCTGCAGAGACAGACTACAGGCCAGGTACGTGAAGTATGGGGGGAAAGGCAGCAGGGATACATGGGGACACTGAAACACTAGGGGACACTCTGAGATATGGGAATGCTGAGACACATGGGGACATTGGGAGACACACTGAGACACAGAGACACATGGGACACAGTGTCCCCATGCCTCCAAGCCAGTGTCCCTATTGTCTCAGTGTCCCCTAGTCTCCCAGTGTCTATATCCCTATGTCCCCCAGTGTCCCTAATGTATCCCAGTGTCCCCAAATGTCTGTGTCCCCATGTCTCCCAGTGTCCACATGTCTCCCAGCCAGTCCCCCTAGTGTCTCAGTGTCCCCATGTCTCCCAGTGTCCCCAAATGTCTGTGTCCCCATGTCTCCCAGTGTCCACATGTCTCCCAGCCAGTCCCCCTAGTGTCTCAGTGTCCCCATGTCTCCCTGTGTCCCCATGTCTCCCAGTGTCTGTTTCCCATGTCTCTCAGTGTCCCCAAATGTCCCCATTTCTCCCAGTGTCCCCAAGTGTCTCCATGCCTGTGTCTCCATGCCTCCCAGCCAGTGTCCCTAGTGTCTCAGTATCCTCATGTCTCTCAGTGTCCCCATGTCTTCCAGTGTCTGTGTCTCTGTGTCCCTAGTGTTTGTGTCCCCATTTCTCCCAGTGTCCCCATTGACTTGCTGCTTCACTGGACACTGCTGTTAGGGGGTATGGATTTAATTGAAAGAGTAAAGCATAAATTAGAGAGAGATTAGCATAGAGTATGTGTTTTCTTAAAGCTGCATCCTTTGAGTTTCCCTCCAACACCATCTCCATTAGATACTTGACGCTTGAGAGGTATGACTGTTTTAGTGTCTATGGTCGATAAGATGCTTGTCATGACTGTTAGTGTGGTCTAGCATGCAGAACTATGTAACATCTACATAGACAGAACAGAAAATGATAAAACGTAAACCAGTTCTTAGAATGGCCGGACTAATACGTTAAAAACAGAGAATGGTCAAGGGAGCCAGAAATATACAATACCATTTAACAAGCCAAGTCAGGGAAGCCAGGAATCAGAATAGTCAGGAATAGCCAAGGTCAAAATACTGGGAATATCAAAAACCGGACAAGAAAACGCACTCTCAGGATTCAGGAACCAGGAACGAAAACCACGACAGGGCAATAACCTAGGTTAAATATCCCTCTGGCCTCTGACTGCAGAACGTGTGTGTGTGTGTGTGTAACCCTGGGGGGCAGAGCTATATCTGGCTGCAACTGCATGTTCGGCACCATCTTGAACTCAGGCAGGCAGCAAGGAGAACCCGGCAGAGCTGCTCCCGACTCGCCGCTGAGCAGATAAGCTCAGTTCGTTGGCGTGGTCACTCTGGTCCGGTGCGACTGCACCTCGCGGCGAGCCGGTGGCCGTGACAATTCTGTAATTAGGCCCCATCATAATTGTCAGCACCAGGCCCACTGGGCTCTTAATCTGGCCCTGGGGCTAGGAAGAAATGATAGCCAGGGGGTGAGGGGATTCAGTTCTTGATAATTTATATGGCATGTTTATTTTTTTCTCTGTGAGTAACTGGTCATTTAAATCATATTTACAAAGTTTTGCTTCATTTCAAGACCAAGCAAGTGTCCAAATTATATGTCATACTCACATAATCTTCTGCTTAAAAATTACTTGATTATCAGCATCTCCGATTATAAGTGTTACATGGTGTGAATCAGAGGCTGTTCTCTTCTTCAGTAATTGCTCGAAGTTTGTAAGCAGAATGGTGATAACAATTTCTGCCACAGTTGGGCTGTATCGTGCTAGCTTAAAGATAAATAATAATTTTGATGTAATTTAGAAATTATATCAAAACAGTACAGGCCGTTTCAAACTGAAAACAGATAATTGATTTTTTATATGACAATGGCTCCTCTAAAATGTTTGTGATATACCTAAAATGTTTATTGGTTTGTGAGACCACAAAATGTCTTACTAATGTGTTTTTTAATGCATATTTTTGTACTTATCTTGTATGGTTTAGAGTCTCTATTAGCACCAGAACCACAACAGCTTAAAGGACCACTATAGGCACCCAGACCACTTCAGCTTAATGAGGTGGTCTGGGTGCCTGGTCCAGCTAGGTTTAACCCTTTTTTCTATAAACATAGCTGTTTCAGAGAAACTGCTATGTTTATAAATGGGTTAATCCAGCCTCTAGTGGTTGTCTCATTGACAGCCGCTAGAGGCGCTTGCGTGTTTCTCACTGTGATTTTCACAGTGAGAAGACGCCATCGTCCATAGGAAAGCATTGTGAATGCTTTCCTATGGACTGGCTGAATGCGCGCACAGCTCCTGCCGCGCATGCGCATTCAGCCGAAGAGGCGGAGAGGAGGCGGAGAGGAGGAGGAGAGCTCTCCGCCCGGCGCTGGAGAAAGAGGTAAGTTTAACCCCTTCCACCCCCCAGAGCCCGGCGGGAGGGGGTCCCTGAGGGTGGGGGCACCCTCAGGGCACTATAGTGCCGGGAAACAAGTAGGTTTTCCTGGCACTATAGTGGTCCTTTAATATACTGGTTTTGTGTGAAGAGACTGTCAATGTAGTCTCTTTACAGTAAGTACAGTTTTTTTCCCATTAAAGGGCAGTGTTTATATTGCCCTCTTAGACACGAGAGGTGCCTGCTATTGCAGTCCAGCAATCTTTGGAGGACTAGCGTTCAGCTTCTTCACACGCTGGATAGCGCATCTCTATGAGGAGGTGGTGAAATACAATACAAATACACACTAAACTATTTAGTATAATTCATACACAGCATGATTTGAGGCACGCACAAAGGAACCCTTATGATATCCCCTGGTTTTCTGTCAAACCATTATGGGCTCTCACTGGATCAGTTTGACAAAAAAAAAAACTATGGGATGACACCCAAAGACTTATTGCACCATACACTTTACAATGACCTGCATTTGGTGTGGTACAGTGTGCAACCCTTTCATGTCACCTAAAAAATTTAAATAAAAAAAATATATATATATCAAAACTTTCTATGAAGCTTTTCTGCTTTTAGTGACATATAGCAAGTGTCAAACTGTGCTCACCCCACTCCTGTTGTTACTGGAATAGAGAGCTTATAATTCTCAGACTGCTACAGCCTGGCTTAGATATGGATATTCAACGACATATGGTAGCCTTTAGTTCAACACTACTGTTCTACTGGTTTGTGTAGATTCCGGAATTCACACAGTTAATTAGAATGTTTGCTAAGGCTAAAATATGTTAGCTCATTCCCACACCATTGGTAGCTTACAAGGTAAATATTTACCCAGACTATACAACATGCATAACTATTAATGCTATCACTCATCAAAAAGTAATGATATGTATTATTAAGTCTCTAACCTGCTCAAATCCAATTTCATACTTTGGGAGATGCATTACTGATTCTTTTATTTGATTTCCAAATGGAGGGTGTCTGTTGACAATCTGTTTAGAATAAAGAAAGTGAATATAAATAATTGTGCCAGTTAAAAATATCTATTTATATTGCACTTAGATTAAAGAAACAAATTATTAAAAACATTTAACAGCATTTGCAACTCTACCCATGTTAGTAGTGTTAGGGAGAATAAATATCCTCTCCTTTACAAAACATCCATAACCTTTATACAATGAGGCCTTTATACTGGCTATAGAAAAATCTTTTCAATCACAATAATACAGATAATTATGTTTAATCAGAACACTGATTCTCAAAGCTGCTGCCGTTACTCTCTAATTGTTCTATTTGCCCTCTAGTGACACTTTACAACTTTCTCTAACTCTCACCATCACCAGTTTAATCACATGCCTGGCAGTCCTGCCCAGGGAAGATGTACTGTTCATAATACATTTAATGTTAATATTAACATATTACAGATAATACAGTTAATATGCTTTCTGGATACATGTTTGCCTGTACGATTATGGATTGTGTGCAAACAATTGTTATGCTTATGTTTAAATGGACACTGTAGGCACCCAGACCATTCAGCTCACTGAAATGGTCACTACACCCTTCGCCCTGAAATTTAAATCAATGCAGTTTTTGAGAAACTGCAATAATTACATTGCAGGACTAAGACTACCTCTAGTAGTTGTCAATCAGACAGCCAGAAGAGGCACATTCTGATTGCTATGTGACTTTGGGTCCCCTAACTGACGCTGTGTTTGTATTCCTTACACTAGATGTACAAAAGATCTACAGTATTGGATGCTTTGATATGTTCTTCATGCAAAGTCTTTGCATATAAAATGCTTTTCATTGCATGTATTTATCAGTAAACACTAAACAAAATTATAAACGCAACACTTTTGTTTTTGCCCCCATTTTTTTTATGAGTTCAGCTCATGAAAAATAGGAGCAAAAACAAAAGTGTTGCGTTTATAATTTTGTTCAGTGTATAAATGCACATTGTGATTCCAGTTTTGTTTCATTTATGTTGCAATTTTTACAAGCTAAGCATAGAAATAAACCCAGTCTTGGACACCAAGCTAAAGAGTCGTGAGAACAGTATAGGAGGACTTAAAATGTTTGGCTTAGGGGGTGGAGCCAACACCAAACATAATGGCCGCATGAAAGCTAGGCTCCGAGCAAGCAGACGGCAAAAAAGCATTTTTATCCACTGCACAGGGACGAATTACCCAATAAACAAAGGATACAACAATGTTCCACCCTAAAAGGAAGATCCTCCTTCTTGGCAAAATCTCAGTCCAAATTGCAATTAACGCAGAATGGCCTATAACATGGCAACTGCGAGACAAGGGATAGCTGAGAATCTAACATTACGCTGTTAGAGACACAAGAGAGAGATTCCCCTCTGACCTCTGCACTCCTCCAAAGAATGCTAAACAACTTTTTTACCAACTTATTGCTAAATTCCAGTTCTTGGTTCAAGAATTGAAAAAGGAGATACAAGACATAGGAGGGCCCACTGCCTATCTAGAAACCAAGATATATGCATTTGCAGAGGTGCATAACTGGCTGATAAGCTACAATAGATGAAAACACACCTTTGCCATTTACGAAACAAAGATCACTGACCTCGAGGACCACTCATGGAAGAACAATCTGCGCCTTCGGGGAATAACGTCAGTGGGGGACCTAACATTTTTTGCCATGGGCCTATTCCGAGCACTATGCCCTGATATACAGACAGAAATGTTTCTTCTGGACTGAATCCACAAAATGCTAAAAGCCAGGGCCGTTTTAGGGTCGGCATCAAGATATGTGCTGTTTTGCACTTATAATCACCATGTCAAAGAGTCTTGAGGGCTAGTAGAAACGTGACTATACTTCTATCAAAATGTTTGCTGACAATCCCCCAACACTGGCAGCTTCACTCCTTTTACATCTGCACTGCGTAATCAGCAGATCTCCTACAGATGGGGATTCCCCACATGTCTCTTATTGATCCAAAACCACCAGACAAAACAGGTGCAGAACCTGGAGGCCTCTCTGTTGCGACAATGGTATATACTCTCCGAAAACACCTCTAGCATCCTGTACGCTACCTGACCTGCAGACAAATGAGGCGCTGGGGGGGTGAGTGGGGAAGGGATTGAGATTGTGCATTGGAAGAGGGGTAGTCATTTAGCTAGTAATTTTAGCATGGTTTATACAATTGTCCATGAGATTGGTATCAAATAATGTGAAAGGACTGAATGCGCCATTCGAACATCATGCACTCTATAGGGAAATTAAACACTTAGAAAGGGACATCATATGGCCATTTTTGGAAAAAATTACCCTTGTAGGTTTCACTATAACAAATTTCCATACTAATTTCATGCTACCTCGTACTCTAAGTACAAAGGCATTTCTATAATGTTCAGCAACCAATTAACTTTCTCTCTGATCAAAAAAGTTACAGACCCCAGAGGTAGATACCTCATTGTTGTATCATCACTAAACGACATGGTCTATATACTATTGCTAACTTTTACTCCCTAATGATCACCAGAAAGCCTTCTTGACCAAGGTTTGTGCAAAGATAGAACAGGTACAGCAGGATTTACTGATACTTTGCGTGAATTTTAACTGCATCCATGAGCCCAAACTAGATACGTCCTTTACTAAGACACCAGCAAGAGCAAAAGTGCTCAAAACAACTGCAAAACGACTGAGCACTATTTTTAATTCATACAAACTTTACGATGTCTAGAGAGCGACGTACCCATCAAATAGAGAATACACTTTCTTTTCTCCACTACATAATGATTATGCCAGGATAGACAGATGCTACGTCCAAAGTCCACACCTACAGCAGAATGAAGGATGTATGATAGGCAACATAGAGAGGGTATTGGGGGCATAGTTTGAAAAGTCTATCACTGATAACTTCTACTTTAAAGGCAAACCTTCTTGGAAATTAAAAAAAGAATCACTGCTCCAAGACGCCAAGTTCTTATAAATTCTACGGAAACATCGAACACATTATTTTTCTACGAATTAAACCCCAGATGTTACAATAGACACTATCTGGCAGGCACAAAAGTCAGTAGTGAGATGCTTACTAAGCAAACAAGCATCCCATCTTAGAAAGCAGTCCCAACAACAACTTCTAGAGTTGTCAAAATAGTTAAAAGAACTGAATAGGGCGGATCAAAAGAGGTCTGGCAAACAGATATGGGATGAGATATTACAATTGCAATCAAAAATATCAGAGGCCAAACTAAAACTACTACCTAAAAAAAATTGGTACTATCGCATTACACGCAAAGCAACAGAGCAGGATAAATACTGGCTGCCAAACTTAAAAGTCAACAGGCACATTCCAGACTCTCATACCTCACTTCAGAGGTGAACAAGAGATTGTTAAACCTCCTTGGCCATTAGTAACAAATTCGCCTTTTTTTTATCAAGGACTCGACCCTGCATCACATTTCCCCAGATGAAGCTTCCACTTACTTAGCCTCTATAGAAACTCCATCTCTCTCACCACAACAGAATGAGGGTATAGCTTTGCCTTTCACAATTGAGGAGTTAATCTCCACCACAGAGGGCCCTCCCTCTAGTAAATCCCAAGGACCTGACAGCCTAACGAATGTATACTATAAAAAGTTAAAGTGTGTCTAGGCCCAAAACTTTCACCATCTTTTCAACGAGCTGGTTCACCTCAAAAGAAATGTTATCCGCAACGCTAATAACTCTTCTGAAAGCCCTACAAGGTACAAAAACTTCAGACCAATTTCCCTGCTCAATTATTACGTCAAGCTTATGCAAAGCTCTTGGTCAATAGGCTAACAGGAGTACTTCCATCACTGATCCATCCAGATCAAGTAGGGTTCGTTAGAGGTAACGCGAGGAGAGTGCTAGATCCTATTCACTCGATGCACAAGGCAAAGATAGAAGGCGTCATGCTATCTTTATGGAATCTGTGCTTTGAATATTCCAATTCCCGGGATTGTTTTTGGCCTCGGTCAGAGCTCTTTATAATCTACCTACTGCAAAAGTGGTGTTTATCAGAACTGTTTGCCATAACAATTGGCATGCACCAGGGGTGCCCTCTCTTACCTCTACTATATGTTTTAGCTTTAGAAACTCCAGCGAAAAATATTAGAGTAGACACAAGCATCTCGATTGAGCTTTTTTGCAGATGACGTCCTATTGACTATTACACGACCACTCGCCTCACTTTCCGCTCTTACTAGTACTCTGCAGGAGTATAGTAAATACTCTCATTGCAAACGGAACACGACTAAGATGCCCATCCACTTAGAGAAACAGGTGATTCAAACTCTTAAACATAGGTTTCAGTATGACTGGAGGGATGACCATATTGTTTATCTTGGGTTTAGGTTAACTAAAAACGATCTGCCAAGATGATGCTACTACCAAAACGCTAACTCATGTTCCATTCCTTACCGATTGAACTCCCCAAAACATACCTACCAACCCCACAATTCCATATAGACTGATTCATTAATAGTAGGCGCAAAGCCTGCACATCTAAAAGCAACGCTGCCAGGAAAACTCTGTATGGCGGTATAGGCATCCTTGATGTTCAACTGTCATCCTACTTCTTAACCATTCAATAGGAGCTCACGGCTCAACTACAGCACCCCAATGGGTCGATATTGAGTCACAGTGGACCACTGCCAAAAAGGGTTCAATATCTAATGTTGTTGCCCACCACAAAAGTAATGCTTAAAATCTGGGACAAACACATATCAAAATTCTGTACATGGAGTCTAGTATCTCTAGCAACCCCACCACATGTTTTAAGTATCTCATTCCCACATTTGACAGTGGGAAGATTCTCTCTTTTTCACTCTCTCTTTTCCCACTTTTCTCATTTTCCCACTTGGTATCTCTCTCACGCTTATTCTATACAATACAGAAAATATGGATTGTTACAAAGGTACATTATAAGAAAACTGCAGATTTTGACCAAGCTTGTGACCATGGAAATGTTTGTTCTAGATGATACATTGGCCTAGGAGAGCAATTTAAATAAAGTGGTCTGTTTTGCAGACCCCCAAGCCACCTTTTCTAATTTTATCTTTAAAACATATATTTTTAAAACAGTGCATGAGTAAGTAGTGGTGCTGCCAACAGCACATTAATACCTACAGTACTGATCCAGCAGCCAATGCCTGCTCATCAAGAATTCCTTGCAGTGGGAGATGAGGAATGTAAATTGAAACTCATGACAGCAAATAACAAGATTTTGATGGTTCTGAAAAAGTCATATGGTTATATGCACCTTTTATAATCTATTAGCAGTGAAGTAGTGAACTATCAGGCATCCAGTAATAAGCTTGTTTGTCAATTTCATTTTGTAGCCAGATTGCAACCACGATATGAAATTAATGCAAAAATATTTAAGATAAAAAAGGCTGTT